CCACTTCAGCAGCTTCTACAGATGTGACCACATCCACCGGCTGGCCAGAAGCGAGCACGTCAATAGCTTCTCCGGACAAGACCACATCAACAGTGTCTCCAGATGTGACCCCATCAACATCATATCCAGACAGGACCACATCAGCTGCTTCTCCAGATGTGACCACATCAACTGCCTGGCCAGAAGCGAGCATGTCAACAGCTTCTCCGGACATGACCACATCAACAGTATTTCCAGACAGGACCACTTCAGCAGCTTCTCCAAAAGTGACCACAGCAACAGCGTCTCCAGACACCAGCACATCAACAACTCCAGACGTGACCACATCAAGAGCCTCTCCAGATGCAAACACATCAACAGCGGACTTGACCACATCAACAGTATCTCCAGACAGGACCACATTAACAGTGTCTCCAGACACCAGCATATCAACAGCTTCTCCAGATATGACCACATCAACAATGTCTCCTCCAGATGGGACCACATCAACTCCCTGGCCAGAAGCAAGCACGTCAACAGCTTCTCCGGACATGACCACATCAACAGTGTCTCCAGATGGGACCACATCAGCAGCATCTTCAGAAGTGACCACATTAACAGTGTCTCCAGAAACCAGCACATCAACAGCTTACCCAGATGCAAGCACATCAACGGCTTCTCCAGACACGTTAACAGTGTCTCCAGATGGGACCACATCAGCAGCTGCTCCAGATATGAGCACATCACCAGCTTCTCCAGATGTGACCACATCCACTGCCTGGCCAGAAGCGAGCACATTAACAGCTTCTCCAGATGTGACCATATCAACGGTGTCTCCAGACGTGACCACATCAACAAAGTCTCCAGACGGGACCACATCAACATCATCTCCAGATGGGACCACATCAACAGAATCTCTAGAAGGGACCACATCAACAGCCTGGGCAGATGCAAGCACATCAACAGCTTCTCCAGACATGAGCACGTCAACAGTGTCTTCAGACATGATCACCTCAACAGCTTCTCCAGATGCGACCACATCAACAGTGTCTCCAGACGGGACCACATTAACAGTGTTTCCAGACACCAGTACATCAACAGCTTCTCCAGATGTGAGCACATCAACATCTTCTCCAGGCAGGACCACATTCACAGTGTCTCCAGACACCAGCACATCAACAGCTTCTCCAGATATGACCACATCAACAGTGTCTCCAGATATGACCACATCAGCATCGTCTCCAGCTGGGACCACATCATCAGCTGTTCCAGACGCGACCACATCAACCACTTCTCCAGACGTGACCACATCAACAGAGTCTCCAGAAGGCACCACATCAACAGCCTGGCCAGACGCAAGCACATCAACAGCTTCTCCAGACATGAGCACATCAACATTGTCTCCAGACATGATCACATCAACAGCTTCTCCAGATGTGACCACATCACCAGTTTCTCCAGATGTGACCACATCAACTGCCTGGCCAGAAGCAAGCACGTCAACAGCTTCTCCGGACATGACCACATCAACAGTGTCTCCAGACCGGACCACATTAACAGTGTTTCCAGATACCAGCACATCAACAGCTTCTCCCAATATGACCACATCAACAGAGTCTCCAGAAGGGACCACATCAACAGCCTGGCCAGATGTGAGCACATCAACAGTTTCTCCAGACATGAGCACGTCAACAGTGTCTCCAGACCGGACCACATTAACAGTGTTTCCAGATACCAGCACATCAACAGCTTCTCCCAATATGACCACATCAACAGAGTCTCCAGAAGGGACCACATCAACAGCCTGGCCAGATGTGAGCACATCAACAGCTTCTCCAGACATGAGCACATCAACAGTGTCTCCAGACACCAGCACATCAACAACTTCTCCAGATGCGACCACATCAACAGTGTCTCCAGACACCAGCACATCAACAGCTTCTACAGATATGACCACATCAACAGAGTCTCCAGAAGGGACCACATCAACAGCCTGGCCAGATGTGAGCACATCAACAGTTTCTCCAGACATGAGCACGTCAACAGTGTCTCCAGACCGGACCACATTAACAGTGTTTCCAGATACCAGCACATCAACAGCTTCTCCCAATACAACCACATCAACAGAGTCTCCAGAAGGGACCACATCAACAGCCTGGCCAGATGTGAGCACATCAACAGCTTCTCCAGACATGAGCACATCAACAGTGTCTCCAGACACCAGCACATCAACAACTTCTCCAGATGCGACCACATCAACAGTGTCTCCAGACACCAGCACATCAACAGCTTCTACAGATATGACCACATCAACAGTGTCCCCAGATGGGACCACATCAACATCGTTTCCAGACGGGACCACATCATCAGCTGCTCCAGACACAACCACATCAACCACTTCTCCAGACGGGACCACATTAACAGTGTTTCCAGACACCAGCACATCAACAGCTTCTCCAGATGTGAGCACATCAACAGCTTCTCCAGACAGGACCACATCAACAGTGTCTCCAGACGTGACCACTTCAGCAGCTTCTACAGATGTGACCACATCCACCGGCTGGCCAGAAGCGAGCACGTCAATAGCTTCTCCGGACAAGACCACATCAACAGTGTCTCCAGATGTGACCCCATCAACATCATATCCAGACAGGACCACATCAGCTGCTTCTCCAGATGTGACCACATCAACTGCCTGGCCAGAAGCGAGCATGTCAACAGCTTCTCCGGACATGACCACATCAACAGTATTTCCAGACAGGACCACTTCAGCAGCTTCTCCAAAAGTGACCACAGCAACAGCGTCTCCAGACACCAGCACATCAACAACTCCAGACGTGACCACATCAAGAGCCTCTCCAGATGCAAACACATCAACAGCGGACTTGACCACATCAACAGTATCTCCAGACAGGACCACATTAACAGTGTCTCCAGACACCAGCATATCAACAGCTTCTCCAGATATGACCACATCAACAATGTCTCCTCCAGATGGGACCACATCAACTCCCTGGCCAGAAGCAAGCACGTCAACAGCTTCTCCGGACATGACCACATCAACAGTGTCTCCAGATGGGACCACATCAGCAGCATCTTCAGAAGTGACCACATTAACAGTGTCTCCAGAAACCAGCACATCAACAGCTTACCCAGATGCAAGCACATCAACGGCTTCTCCAGACACGTTAACAGTGTCTCCAGATGGGACCACATCAGCAGCTGCTCCAGATATGAGCACATCACCAGCTTCTCCAGATGTGACCACATCCACTGCCTGGCCAGAAGCGAGCACATTAACAGCTTCTCCAGATGTGACCATATCAACGGTGTCTCCAGACGTGACCACATCAACAAAGTCTCCAGACGGGACCACATCAACATCATCTCCAGATGGGACCACATCAACAGAATCTCTAGAAGGGACCACATCAACAGCCTGGGCAGATGCAAGCACATCAACAGCTTCTCCAGACATGAGCACGTCAACAGTGTCTTCAGACATGATCACCTCAACAGCTTCTCCAGATGCGACCACATCAACAGTGTCTCCAGACGGGACCACATTAACAGTGTTTCCAGACACCAGTACATCAACAGCTTCTCCAGATGTGAGCACATCAACATCTTCTCCAGGCAGGACCACATTCACAGTGTCTCCAGACACCAGCACATCAACAGCTTCTCCAGATATGACCACATCAACAGTGTCTCCAGATATGACCACATCAGCATCGTCTCCAGCTGGGACCACATCATCAGCTGTTCCAGACGCGACCACATCAACCACTTCTCCAGACGTGACCACATCAACAGAGTCTCCAGAAGGCACCACATCAACAGCCTGGCCAGACGCAAGCACATCAACAGCTTCTCCAGACATGAGCACATCAACATTGTCTCCAGACATGATCACATCAACAGCTTCTCCAGATGTGACCACATCACCAGTTTCTCCAGATGTGACCACATCAACTGCCTGGCCAGAAGCAAGCACGTCAACAGCTTCTCCGGACATGACCACATCAACAGTGTCTCCAGACCGGACCACATTAACAGTGTTTCCAGATACCAGCACATCAACAGCTTCTCCCAATATGACCACATCAACAGAGTCTCCAGAAGGGACCACATCAACAGCCTGGCCAGATGTGAGCACATCAACAGTTTCTCCAGACATGAGCACGTCAACAGTGTCTCCAGACCGGACCACATTAACAGTGTTTCCAGATACCAGCACATCAACAGCTTCTCCCAATATGACCACATCAACAGAGTCTCCAGAAGGGACCACATCAACAGCCTGGCCAGATGTGAGCACATCAACAGCTTCTCCAGACATGAGCACATCAACAGTGTCTCCAGACACCAGCACATCAACAACTTCTCCAGATGCGACCACATCAACAGTGTCTCCAGACACCAGCACATCAACAGCTTCTACAGATATGACCACATCAACAGAGTCTCCAGAAGGGACCACATCAACAGCCTGGCCAGATGTGAGCACATCAACAGTTTCTCCAGACATGAGCACGTCAACAGTGTCTCCAGACCGGACCACATTAACAGTGTTTCCAGATACCAGCACATCAACAGCTTCTCCCAATACAACCACATCAACAGAGTCTCCAGAAGGGACCACATCAACAGCCTGGCCAGATGTGAGCACATCAACAGCTTCTCCAGACATGAGCACATCAACAGTGTCTCCAGACACCAGCACATCAACAACTTCTCCAGATGCGACCACATCAACAGTGTCTCCAGACACCAGCACATCAACAGCTTCTACAGATATGACCACATCAACAGTGTCCCCAGATGGGACCACATCAACATCGTTTCCAGACGGGACCACATCATCAGCTGCTCCAGACACAACCACATCAACCACTTCTCCAGACGGGACCACATTAACAGTGTTTCCAGACACCAGCACATCAACAGCTTCTCCAGATGTGAGCACATCAACAGCTTCTCCAGACAGGACCACATCAACAGTGTCTCCAGACGTGACCACTTCAGCAGCTTCTACAGATGTGACCACATCCACCGGCTGGCCAGAAGCGAGCACGTCAATAGCTTCTCCGGACAAGACCACATCAACAGTGTCTCCAGATGTGACCCCATCAACATCATATCCAGACAGGACCACATCAGCTGCTTCTCCAGATGTGACCACATCAACTGCCTGGCCAGAAGCGAGCATGTCAACAGCTTCTCCGGACATGACCACATCAACAGTATTTCCAGACAGGACCACTTCAGCAGCTTCTCCAAAAGTGACCACAGCAACAGCGTCTCCAGACACCAGCACATCAACAACTCCAGACGTGACCACATCAAGAGCCTCTCCAGATGCAAACACATCAACAGCGGACTTGACCACATCAACAGTATCTCCAGACAGGACCACATTAACAGTGTCTCCAGACACCAGCATATCAACAGCTTCTCCAGATATGACCACATCAACAATGTCTCCTCCAGATGGGACCACATCAACTCCCTGGCCAGAAGCAAGCACGTCAACAGCTTCTCCGGACATGACCACATCAACAGTGTCTCCAGATGGGACCACATCAGCAGCATCTTCAGAAGTGACCACATTAACAGTGTCTCCAGAAACCAGCACATCAACAGCTTACCCAGATGCAAGCACATCAACGGCTTCTCCAGACACGTTAACAGTGTCTCCAGATGGGACCACATCAGCAGCTGCTCCAGATATGAGCACATCACCAGCTTCTCCAGATGTGACCACATCCACTGCCTGGCCAGAAGCGAGCACATTAACAGCTTCTCCAGATGTGACCATATCAACGGTGTCTCCAGACGTGACCACATCAACAAAGTCTCCAGACGGGACCACATCAACATCATCTCCAGATGGGACCACATCAACAGAATCTCTAGAAGGGACCACATCAACAGCCTGGGCAGATGCAAGCACATCAACAGCTTCTCCAGACATGAGCACGTCAACAGTGTCTTCAGACATGATCACCTCAACAGCTTCTCCAGATGCGACCACATCAACAGTGTCTCCAGACGGGACCACATTAACAGTGTTTCCAGACACCAGTACATCAACAGCTTCTCCAGATGTGAGCACATCAACATCTTCTCCAGGCAGGACCACATTCACAGTGTCTCCAGACACCAGCACATCAACAGCTTCTCCAGATATGACCACATCAACAGTGTCTCCAGATATGACCACATCAGCATCGTCTCCAGCTGGGACCACATCATCAGCTGTTCCAGACGCGACCACATCAACCACTTCTCCAGACGTGACCACATCAACAGAGTCTCCAGAAGGCACCACATCAACAGCCTGGCCAGACGCAAGCACATCAACAGCTTCTCCAGACATGAGCACATCAACATTGTCTCCAGACATGATCACATCAACAGCTTCTCCAGATGTGACCACATCACCAGTTTCTCCAGATGTGACCACATCAACTGCCTGGCCAGAAGCAAGCACGTCAACAGCTTCTCCGGACATGACCACATCAACAGTGTCTCCAGACCGGACCACATTAACAGTGTTTCCAGATACCAGCACATCAACAGCTTCTCCCAATATGACCACATCAACAGAGTCTCCAGAAGGGACCACATCAACAGCCTGGCCAGATGTGAGCACATCAACAGTTTCTCCAGACATGAGCACGTCAACAGTGTCTCCAGACCGGACCACATTAACAGTGTTTCCAGATACCAGCACATCAACAGCTTCTCCCAATATGACCACATCAACAGAGTCTCCAGAAGGGACCACATCAACAGCCTGGCCAGATGTGAGCACATCAACAGCTTCTCCAGACATGAGCACATCAACAGTGTCTCCAGACACCAGCACATCAACAACTTCTCCAGATGCGACCACATCAACAGTGTCTCCAGACACCAGCACATCAACAGCTTCTACAGATATGACCACATCAACAGAGTCTCCAGAAGGGACCACATCAACAGCCTGGCCAGATGTGAGCACATCAACAGTTTCTCCAGACATGAGCACGTCAACAGTGTCTCCAGACCGGACCACATTAACAGTGTTTCCAGATACCAGCACATCAACAGCTTCTCCCAATACAACCACATCAACAGAGTCTCCAGAAGGGACCACATCAACAGCCTGGCCAGATGTGAGCACATCAACAGCTTCTCCAGACATGAGCACATCAACAGTGTCTCCAGACACCAGCACATCAACAACTTCTCCAGATGCGACCACATCAACAGTGTCTCCAGACACCAGCACATCAACAGCTTCTACAGATATGACCACATCAACAGTGTCCCCAGATGGGACCACATCAACATCGTTTCCAGACGGGACCACATCATCAGCTGCTCCAGACACAACCACATCAACCACTTCTCCAGACGGGACCACATTAACAGTGTTTCCAGACACCAGCACATCAACAGCTTCTCCAGATGTGAGCACATCAACAGCTTCTCCAGACAGGACCACATCAACAGTGTCTCCAGACGTGACCACTTCAGCAGCTTCTACAGATGTGACCACATCCACCGGCTGGCCAGAAGCGAGCACGTCAATAGCTTCTCCGGACAAGACCACATCAACAGTGTCTCCAGATGTGACCCCATCAACATCATATCCAGACAGGACCACATCAGCTGCTTCTCCAGATGTGACCACATCAACTGCCTGGCCAGAAGCGAGCATGTCAACAGCTTCTCCGGACATGACCACATCAACAGTATTTCCAGACAGGACCACTTCAGCAGCTTCTCCAAAAGTGACCACAGCAACAGCGTCTCCAGACACCAGCACATCAACAACTCCAGACGTGACCACATCAAGAGCCTCTCCAGATGCAAACACATCAACAGCGGACTTGACCACATCAACAGTATCTCCAGACAGGACCACATTAACAGTGTCTCCAGACACCAGCATATCAACAGCTTCTCCAGATATGACCACATCAACAATGTCTCCTCCAGATGGGACCACATCAACTCCCTGGCCAGAAGCAAGCACGTCAACAGCTTCTCCGGACATGACCACATCAACAGTGTCTCCAGATGGGACCACATCAGCAGCATCTTCAGAAGTGACCACATTAACAGTGTCTCCAGAAACCAGCACATCAACAGCTTACCCAGATGCAAGCACATCAACGGCTTCTCCAGACACGTTAACAGTGTCTCCAGATGGGACCACATCAGCAGCTGCTCCAGATATGAGCACATCACCAGCTTCTCCAGATGTGACCACATCCACTGCCTGGCCAGAAGCGAGCACATTAACAGCTTCTCCAGATGTGACCATATCAACGGTGTCTCCAGACGTGACCACATCAACAAAGTCTCCAGACGGGACCACATCAACATCATCTCCAGATGGGACCACATCAACAGAATCTCTAGAAGGGACCACATCAACAGCCTGGGCAGATGCAAGCACATCAACAGCTTCTCCAGACATGAGCACGTCAACAGTGTCTTCAGACATGATCACCTCAACAGCTTCTCCAGATGCGACCACATCAACAGTGTCTCCAGACGGGACCACATTAACAGTGTTTCCAGACACCAGTACATCAACAGCTTCTCCAGATGTGAGCACATCAACATCTTCTCCAGGCAGGACCACATTCACAGTGTCTCCAGACACCAGCACATCAACAGCTTCTCCAGATATGACCACATCAACAGTGTCTCCAGATATGACCACATCAGCATCGTCTCCAGCTGGGACCACATCATCAGCTGTTCCAGACGCGACCACATCAACCACTTCTCCAGACGTGACCACATCAACAGAGTCTCCAGAAGGCACCACATCAACAGCCTGGCCAGACGCAAGCACATCAACAGCTTCTCCAGACATGAGCACATCAACATTGTCTCCAGACATGATCACATCAACAGCTTCTCCAGATGTGACCACATCACCAGTTTCTCCAGATGTGACCACATCAACTGCCTGGCCAGAAGCAAGCACGTCAACAGCTTCTCCGGACATGACCACATCAACAGTGTCTCCAGACCGGACCACATTAACAGTGTTTCCAGATACCAGCACATCAACAGCTTCTCCCAATATGACCACATCAACAGAGTCTCCAGAAGGGACCACATCAACAGCCTGGCCAGATGTGAGCACATCAACAGTTTCTCCAGACATGAGCACGTCAACAGTGTCTCCAGACCGGACCACATTAACAGTGTTTCCAGATACCAGCACATCAACAGCTTCTCCCAATATGACCACATCAACAGAGTCTCCAGAAGGGACCACATCAACAGCCTGGCCAGATGTGAGCACATCAACAGCTTCTCCAGACATGAGCACATCAACAGTGTCTCCAGACACCAGCACATCAACAACTTCTCCAGATGCGACCACATCAACAGTGTCTCCAGACACCAGCACATCAACAGCTTCTACAGATATGACCACATCAACAGAGTCTCCAGAAGGGACCACATCAACAGCCTGGCCAGATGTGAGCACATCAACAGTTTCTCCAGACATGAGCACGTCAACAGTGTCTCCAGACCGGACCACATTAACAGTGTTTCCAGATACCAGCACATCAACAGCTTCTCCCAATACAACCACATCAACAGAGTCTCCAGAAGGGACCACATCAACAGCCTGGCCAGATGTGAGCACATCAACAGCTTCTCCAGACATGAGCACATCAACAGTGTCTCCAGACACCAGCACATCAACAACTTCTCCAGATGCGACCACATCAACAGTGTCTCCAGACACCAGCACATCAACAGCTTCTACAGATATGACCACATCAACAGTGTCCCCAGATGGGACCACATCAACATCGTTTCCAGACGGGACCACATCATCAGCTGCTCCAGACACAACCACATCAACCACTTCTCCAGACGGGACCACATTAACAGTGTTTCCAGACACCAGCACATCAACAGCTTCTCCAGATGTGAGCACATCAACAGCTTCTCCAGACAGGACCACATCAACAGTGTCTCCAGACGTGACCACTTCAGCAGCTTCTACAGATGTGACCACATCCACCGGCTGGCCAGAAGCGAGCACGTCAATAGCTTCTCCGGACAAGACCACATCAACAGTGTCTCCAGATGTGACCCCATCAACATCATATCCAGACAGGACCACATCAGCTGCTTCTCCAGATGTGACCACATCAACTGCCTGGCCAGAAGCGAGCATGTCAACAGCTTCTCCGGACATGACCACATCAACAGTATTTCCAGACAGGACCACTTCAGCAGCTTCTCCAAAAGTGACCACAGCAACAGCGTCTCCAGACACCAGCACATCAACAACTCCAGACGTGACCACATCAAGAGCCTCTCCAGATGCAAACACATCAACAGCGGACTTGACCACATCAACAGTATCTCCAGACAGGACCACATTAACAGTGTCTCCAGACACCAGCATATCAACAGCTTCTCCAGATATGACCACATCAACAATGTCTCCTCCAGATGGGACCACATCAACTCCCTGGCCAGAAGCAAGCACGTCAACAGCTTCTCCGGACATGACCACATCAACAGTGTCTCCAGATGGGACCACAACATCAGACAGCATCTTCAGAAGTGACCACATTAACAGTGTCTCCAGAAACCAGCACATCAACAGCTTACCCAGATGCAAGCACATCAACGGCTTCTCCAGAGCACGTTAACAGTGTCTCCAGATGGGACCACATCAACAGCTGCTCCAGATATCAGCACATCACCAGCTTCTCCAATGTGACCACATCAACAGCTCCAGAAGGACCACATAACAGCCTGCCAGATGTGAGCACATCAACAGCTTCTCCAGACATGAGCACATCAACAGTGTCTCCAGACACGCACATCAACAACTTCTCCAGATGCGACCACATCAACAGTGTCTCCAGACGGACCACACATCAACAGCTCTACAGATATGACCACATCAACAGAGTCTCCAGAAGGGACCACATCAACAGCCTGGCCAGATGTGAGCACATCAACAGCTTCTCCAGACATGAGCACGTCAACAGTGTCTCCAGACAGGACCACATTAACAGTGTTCCAGATACCAGCACATCAACAGCTTCTCCAATACGAGACCACATCAACAGAGTCTCCAGAAGGGACCACATCAACAGCCTGGCCAGATGTGAGCACATCAACAGCTTCTCCAGACATGAGCACATCAACAGTGTCTCCAGACACCAGCACATCAACAACTTCTCCAGATGCGACCACATCAACAGTGTCTCCAGACACCAGCACATCAACAGCTTCTACAGATATGACCACATCAACAGTGTCCCCAGATGGGACCACATCAACATCGTTTCCAGACGGGACCACATCATCAGCTGCTCCAGACACGACCACATCAACCACTTCTCCAGACGGGACCACATTAACAGTGTTCCAGACACCAGCACATCAACAGCTTCTCCAGATGTGAGCACATCAACAGCTTCTCCAGACAGGACCACATCAACAGTGTCTCCAGACGTGACCACTTCAGCAGCTTCTACAGATGTGACCACATCAACCGGCTGGCCAGAAGCGAGCACATTAACAGCTTCTCCAGACGTGACCACATCAACAGTGTCTCCAGATGGGACCACATCATCAGGTTCTCCAGATGCCAGCACATCAACAATGTCTCCAGACGTGACCACATTAACAGTGTCTCCAGACACGGACCACATCAACAGCTGCTCCAGACATCACCACATCAGCAGCTTCTCCAGACAGGACCACTTCAGCAGCTTCTCCAGACTTGACCACATCAACAGCATCTCCAGACACCAGCACATCAACAACAATTCCAGACAGGACCACATCAACAGCCTGGCCAGATGCGAGCACATCAACAGCTTCTCCAGACACGAGCACATCAACAATGTCTACAGATGTGAGCACATTAACAGTGTCTCCAGACACGAGCACATCAACAGCTTCTCCAGACATGACCACATCAACCGTGTCTGCAGTCGGACTACATCAGCAGCTTCACTAGGTGCGACCACATTACCAGCAACTCCAGACATAAGCACATCAACAGCTTCTCCAGACGTGAGCACATCAACAGCGTCCCAGACATGACCACATCAACAGTGTCTCCAGATGGGACCACATCAGCAGCTTCTCCAGATGTGACCACATCAACAACATCTCCAGACGTCACCACATCAATAGCTATTCCAGACGTGACCACATCAAGAGCCTGGCCTGATGTGAGCACACCAACAGCTTCCCCAGTCGTGACCACATCAACAGCGTCTCCAGACACAAGCACATCAA